TACTATGACGTGAGCTCCCGTCAGCATCATCAACAGGAATTGCTTTACGCTGCTCCTGCTACTACTACTACTACTGCTGCTGCTACTGCTACTACTACTACTACTACTACTACTACTACTACTACTACTTCGTCTTCTTCTTCTTCCACTACTTTTCTGCTACTGCTACTGCTACTGCCACTGCTACTCCTGCCGTCACCTTCATCTTTCACAGCAACATACCCTGAGCGATCTGCATATCGGCTTTAGACACATGGTCATCATCATCATCACCAGCATCATCGTCATCGTCACAGTCATCGTCATCGTCATCGTCGTAATCATCATCATCGCCATCGTCATCGTCATCATCATCACCATCATCATCATGTTCATCGTCGTCGTCAACATTCGGCGTTATGTTGATAGTAGTATTGCCCGTGGTATTAGTCAACCGAAGTTGCCGTCTTGTCGAAGCAGTGCACCGCTGCAACAACCACCTGGCAAAGCGGAGTTCATGGCTGCGGGATCCTGAACCCATAGTAGCTTCAGGTCCACCGAAAGAAGCAAGGTTTCCAACTTCGGGCTTCTGGGACTGCCGGGTCTGAAAGAGCCTACTTGGAGGTTCATGGGTAGTTATAAGTGGGGTTATAAGTAGGGTAACTTTGCTTATAACCCATATTAGGGGACTTATAACCCCAATTATAGCTGCCCATGAACCTCCAAGTAAAGCCAAGGCACGTGAAGGCTTGCGTTCACCAGAGGCAGGGCACCGGACTTCGTGAGCGCATCGAGGAGCTCGAAGGCCGCCAACTTCTCCTTCTATTGCGGAGTCTGAGCAGCTGTAAGCCCAGAGACTCCAAAACCCCTTAATTAAGGAATATACCTTAAATCATATTAGGGATCCTATTATAATTTAAGGTATATTCCTTAATTAAGGGGTAGAGGCTCGGGTTCAACGGCCTTCTGCTTGCGGCTGCGAGGAATGCGTGTCAGGGAGACTTGGGTCGCTTCAGGCGCTGGCACCCGGTTCTCAGTTCACATGAAACTGCACGGAAAACTCATGTCAGTGTGGACAACTTTGATACTCCACTGCTACATCAACCTCTTCCCTCCCAGAGACTCCAAAACCCCTTAATTAAGGAATATACCTTAAATTATAATAGGATCCCTAATATGATTTAAGGCTTATTCCTTAATTAAGGGGTTTTGGGGTCTCTGGGCTGAACGTCGGCCACCGACCTGCTTCTGCTCATCAACCCCAATCGAGGTTTGGCTCGGTTGTGCCAGCAGAGCTTGCTGTGACCTGAGATTGCAGTAGGTGTCAGAATCACCGCGAAGGACACAAGATTCAAGCTGGTCCAGCATGAACCGAAGAAGCGTTTACATCGTCCTTTCATTCAACTGTCCTTGTTGCCGAGGCTACTTCCTCTACGACTGCGATGGAAACTTCTTCTGCTGTGTCGCCTGCTTCTGCTCGTGTTCTGACTGTGGCTGAAGGTGTGATGCTATCTCATATGCTATTTCATAATGCTACGTCTAGCACGTGAGGCACTGTTGCATCGACTGTTCACGCACTCGGTGCTACAGGTTGAGAGCGAACGCCGCGAAGCAGCTTCTTTTGCCAGGCATCCTGCCTTAGATCCGACAGGCGTAAGCTTCCAGCCATCCCGAGGCTTCTGGCGTTTGGCCGTCCGCAACACACCGAACATTGAAGACCCCTGCGGAACAAGCCACCAGGTTTGAGGCACAACGGTTGAAGGGAAGAATAAGGTTGGGTGGGTTGGGTGGGTTGGGTGGGTTGGGTGGGTTGGGTGGATGCATTTCTAGATGGTGTTTACATCGACATGCGCATTTCTTCAAAGGTAACCCCATGCAAAGCGCTGTGAGTACGTGTCCTCAAGAGAAACCCAGGATGAACGTCCAAGCTTTACAGCCCAAACCAAACGAAGCCAAGCGACAAATTCAGGATCGCTGCTCTGAGAGCCCCCCCTGTTTGCAGTTTCTCAAAGCGCTGGTCCAGCTGCACGGGTAGCTGCGTGTAGTCCCTGGCATTTTGGTGCTGGAAAACTTGCAGAAAGAGAGACCACCAGGGGACTAAGGCTCGCTGTCTCCGTCTTCAGAGCCTGCATTTGAAGGACCAAATTCTCTAAGCTGAGAGTCTCAATAAGCTGAGAAGCTCATTTCGCAAGCATTCGCGGATGCTGCTGGCGGTCTTTAACGAGCAAAAGGGGGGCTGGGCAATCGAAATTTTGAATTACCAGTAGTGGAAGCAAGGAACCCATGTTCGAAACTGATAGCGTTGTTTGAGCTTCGAAGGGTCACACCATGTAAACCACCCCCGGAGAGGCCAACAGAGTCTAAGCTTGACTTTCAAGAATGAACAGAGACTGCGAGGCTCGACGCCTGGTCATCAAACGCTCGTCCTGCGCTTCGGTTGAAGTGTCCATGGGCTCATCCGGCTGCGGAGCTGGCTGCTGGACAGCGGGCCTGAAAGCATGTAAACTAATTCAAGCCATCTCAAAACCTCAGCTATGGCCCGAGCGCTGCCTGCTTGGAGCTGCCTGTTGCGCCTGTTGGCAGGATCGTTGATGGTCCTCTTGCACGGATGCCGCTGCACCTCCAAGGCAGGGAAACGAAGCAGGAGAAGATCCTCTCTGGCATGCGTGGTCTGCAAACCTCTGTGAAGGACAGACATCGAAGTGCTCGCACCATGCCATTTCTGATGACGACGAACTGAAGTCATCCCACACTCGCCAGCTTGCCAAAACCCTATTCCTTCCAAGAATTTCCAAGATGTTACTTGCCCAATGGATTCTTCTCATTCCGGGGGAGCTGTTTCAGACGGAGGCTCTGCGAAAGCCCTGGCAACATCTCGAGGGTTCCCAGGACTCTGTGAGGTGAGGCCTAAACCCAAAGGCCCTTCCTACAAGGAACTTACAGGCTGCCGCAATCTTCCCGGCCTCCAAAAGAGGATGGGCCGGAGTTTCCGAAAAGCGACCCTCCACCTTCCGCGGAGACTTTGGGGCAAAGGCTGGCTCCGCCATGCAACCGCGGAATTGGGACTTGACTTGGCGGGCCAGGTTATGCCAGGTTCCTGTACGGGATGTTGGACATGCCCGTTGGAGCAAGGTTTTGAGAAAGTAACAAACGTGTATCCCTTCCGTCATGCACATGACGTGTGCTTACCCGAAGCATACAGGTCCAGCTGCTTCTTTCCGAGTCTACTGCGACCCCCTGAAATTCGTCTGATTCCATCCACCCTTGACTGGCGTCGCCTCCACCTCCGCCCTGCGCACCGAAGATCGATCCGCCTCGTCAAGCTGCTAGATTTTTGGAGTGCCGAAACCTTTTGCCGGACACCAGTCACGAGAGACCTTGATTCGAACCCAGACTCCACACCGTTCACTGAGGCCAGGACCGGTGCCAGAAGGAAAGCTGAAGAGCCCTGTCAGGGGGGTTCTGCACGAGGACACTGAGATTCTGGTAACAGCCTCTCAGCTAAACTGTTTTAGAGAACTTGTCTCAGATCTCCGCTTCTTGCAGTTCAAGAAAGTGTAGCAGAAAAGTTCGCGAGCCACTGCGCCTCCTCCCGTGCTGCCGAATGGAGAGCAGGAGGTCCCGAAGAGGGATGTTGTCGGTGCAGGTGCATGCTGTGGCACCTGCATCATCGGCATCGCCATGGCCGGCATGCCCGTCGGCACGGGCGCGCCTGGGACTTCACAAAGAGGGCTCGCTGCGGCTGGTGGGATCACAAGCCCCTGCTCGTGCAGAGCGAGGCACCCATTGCGGGCACTCCACCGAAGAGGTGGTCCATGTCGAAGTGGCAGCCTCCACCAGTGCCTGGCAAGCTACTCTTGACTCTGATGCATTTCGCAGCATACTTTCCTCCAGCAGACGCTGCTCAGGCACTCGAGCACCGCTTTGAAATGAGCCCGTGTCTTCTTCTGCAACATGTTCCCTTCGTCTTTCTACCTGATCTTACCTGTGCATCGGAAGGCTGCGACTGCTAAGCTGCTAATCCCCTCTCAGGCCGCGACTGCCAAAAGGGTCGCTAGCCTCCTGGAAGGCCTCCACCGTTTTGCGTCTGACTGGATACTGACAACAGGTCGACAGGCCTGCAGAGGCTTCCACTATCGCACAAAAACTGCTAACAGGGCCTTGGTCGAACCTTGCTGGCTGATACTGGTAGAGGTCCCAGGGGGCTTGGCCCAGACATGTACTTGACAATTTCGATGCCCATGCCCTGGTCTCATGGGACTATGCGAAACCCCTCCAACCTTGCGGTGGACACGTGCTCCCATCCCAAAACAACGCGGCATCACTCTTTTGCGATTGGGTCTGCCCACCTTTTCGGCGAAGTTCTGGACCAACTCCTGCCAGTTCTCTACAGCTTGGCTTGACACTTTCGCCGGTGAATAGCCTTCGTATAGAAAGAATCCAAGGGAAGACCATCATCCTGCCATGACCGCCCTTGAACATCCGCTGGCCCCTGTCCTCCTTCTGGGAGATCGACAGCATGCTTTGCATGGCCTAGCATCGAAAGTGCAAACCTACCAGCGCGTTTCGGGGAATGAGTGGCCCCACCTGGACATGGCCCTTGACAGTGGCGAGCCGCTCCGTTTCGCTGGCCTCCGGCGGACCTGGCGAAAATCTGCAGAGCGCAGTGTCTGGAGTCTGCGATGGGCGCATGCTATGTGACCTCACGCTTTCAAAGCTGCCGTACTGCACGTGCAAGAACTTTTGTCTGCAAAGCATACCTGTGCCCTGTAGATGGCCACAACTACAGTGGTTGAATGCTGCGGTAATGGCAGCTATGCGGTGTCTTCACCGCAGCACTGGGACCTGTGTTGACTCTCTGTCGTCCCTCCAACCAATCCTGTGGATGTCTGCAAGAATCATCGGGAGTGATTACCTGTAGCGCCCTTACAAGCCCTAGGAGGGGACCGGGGGCAGGAACGTTAGGAGTCTAATGTGGATCCTGATTGTGAGACTCTTGAACCAAGTCAGCTGTCTCCTCATTCGCGTTTCTGTCTCGCTTCTCCAGCACCTTCGAGCTCCTCAATCCGGCCTCGTAGCCGTGCCACTGTGAAGCTAAACAGGGATAGAACAATGCCCGAGAAGAGCATGTACACGTTCCGCGTCATGCGGAAGAACTCGATCTTGTCGGCATCTGAAGGATGCTCCGTCTTCATGGGGATCCTCGAAACATCAATCTGCCATCTAACATAGAAGTACAGGGAGACTCCCAGTGCGGCACATCGTCCAGGAAGGCTGTCCACAGTCCTGAACATCGGTGTGAATACAACTGCTACGACCAGGGCTGCCAAAAGCCCGATGATGGCATAGTCTGCCTTATTGAAGATGCTCTCGATCACGTGAAGCACATCCATGGCGGTTTTTTGGGGACTCTTTCCCCTGCGTCCTAGCTCTACGGAACCTTGGGCCGAGGCGATGGTCCAGGAAGCGGCTGCGCTTCATAATGCAGGCCTTGGGTTTATCCTTGCCAAGCAATGGGGCCTGAGAACGAGAGGAGATCGCTCGGAATCTGGAACTTGATGAAGAGTTGCATGAGGTCTTGCGTCAGCTTGATCTCCTGCAGCTGTTTTCATGTCTGGCTCGAGCTTCACCGAGTGATTTGAGAGCCGCATGATCTGTTTTGCGCCATCTTCTTGCTGCATGCCTACGCAAAAGCCTGGGCAAAGAAAACACGAAAACACCACGTCCTTGGTTAGGCTGTCATTGGGCAGGTTAAGCACCTTGCGAGCGAAGACTGCGTCAATAGAACCAGGTCTACTGTAACACCGAATGCTTGCCACAAAAAGCGCTGTATCTTCTCCGCATGGCCAGCTGGCTGCTAGCACCACACACCGGACATGGAAAAGAGCAAGCAGCGCCTTCTCCAGCTGGGGCTTGATGTGGACGATCACCAGCCCAAAGAGCGTGCTCTCCAGCTGCATGGAGCGGATCGCCTTCGCAAACCTCTGCTGCTCCGGCGAGAGTGACTCGATGGCATCTCGGAATTCCTCGGGGGGGATGATTTTGTTTGAAGCACGAAAGGGCGTCAGCTCGCCACTTCCTGAGAGAATCCGAAACTGAAAGACAGAGACTTCCAAACCCTGCTTGCGCGAGCCCGAGAGTCGCGAGCAGTCGGGATGGTCGATAGCTCCAACCCGATGGACAGCTCGTCCTCAACACGCCACTAGCAAATGACAGAGTTCCATCAGCTCTTTGGACTCCAGCCTTGTTCTGAACAATAAAGGCCTGCTTCGGGTCAAAGGTAGTTGAAGAGACCACCCGTCCAACAAGAACGATCCTGAGTGTGCCGCGATTACGGAAGGATAGACAGAATCCTGCAGACTTAGCTCAGCTTCCTCCGCCAGAAAATGCGAGCCGGTCCCAGGGAGGGTGCGACATAGAGGTGACGTACGGGATACCTCTCTGACTCTGACTCCCCGAATCCTGAGAACCACCTCATGGTGCCATGGTCCTTCCAAGGTTCATTGAGCTGAACTGCCGAGCTCGAGAGACCAGCTGGAAGGCCTCTTTGCTGGATCTTCCAAAGAGGTCAGTCGTAAACCTCTCAGCGGCAGCAGGTCTTGAAAGCTGCTGGCTGTTCATCTCCACCAGGTTCACGTTGGATGACTACACCCTTGCACCACCAGTCGAACTCTACAGCTAATTTAAAGTCGTACTTGTCAATGCAAGCTTACTCGCTTTGCGAACCAACACTGACATTTCAGCGCAATGCACGCACACGTATGCCGCTGAGGCACTGATGCGATAAGAAGGCATGCAGATAGTGCTGGCCAACAAATGAAACGCTGGAGGAGGCATTCCTCGCAGTGGACTCTCTCAAGCGTTCCACGTAGGTTTAGGCACGAAGCTGTCTGAAGCAGTCTGAAACAGAAAGCTGGCCAAGAATCAATGCGAACTCCATGGGCCAGGAGGCTTCTGTTTGAGCCACCATCGTTGAAACCGGTTCTCCCCCCTTCTCGATGCTGACGGTACCTTCCGGATACTTCCGGATTCGATTCACGGAAGCCAGTGGGAATCGGAATGAACACAGAAGACATGCGACAAGCAGAGATGAGCTAGAAACAGACAGCCACGGAAACGCGGCGACGGCAAACCCCACGCCGACTGCAGAAACGTTTCACCTCTCGGAGCTCTCGACCTAAACCCTAAACCGCTACACCCTAAACCCGAAACCCTAAACTCCAAAACCTTACACCCCCTGAACCCGAAACCCTAAACCCCTAAACCTTAAACCCCCCTAAAAACCCTGAGCCCTAAAACCCTAAACCTTAAACCCCCTTAAAAACCCTGAACCCTAAAACCCTAAACCTTAAACCCCCCTAAAAACCCTGAACCCTAAAACCCTAAACATCCCTAAATCCCTACACCCTAAACATCCCTAAATCCCTAAACCATAAACATCCCTAAATCCCTAAACCCT